GTGCAAACAAGCTGGACAAGAATAACGGTAATAATCTATGGAGAAAGTAACGAAGGGGACAAAGGACAGACGTAGCGAAATGGCGAGGTTCCTGGTTTGATACCAAAACCAGGCAGATTTTTTCAGTCGCGCACCTCACCTAGCTGTATTTGTAGATTTGCGCTTGTCCTTTGTCCCCTTTGTTCTCCTTTTCCAGGAATTATTATCGTTATCCTTGTCCAGCTCGCTGTCATTTTTGCATTAACTGCATTATCATCATAACCTTAAAAATTAGGCCGTTCACCAGGCACGTAGACAGGATTTTGTTTCGGGGGTGCCCGGCCATGACAAAATGCTGTATGAGGGGGAGGGTGGAGAGAAGGTCGCAGCTAATTGTAAGATCTCAGGGGGGTGGGGGGAAGGGCCGGCTTATCCCCCCCCCCCCCCCCCCCCCGCCCTGGCTACGTGCCTGCCGTTCACTCTTGTTAGTGTTAGGCTGGTGGCAGCTAATAAGACCCGTTTACTATACTGACGTCTAACTCCTGGTTAGCTCAGTTGGTGAAACGCTTCACTTGAAATGGAGCGGTCCTATAGTTCGTACCACGACCAGGCGGATTTTGACAGTCGCGCACCAGTCACCCATAGCTATGTTTCGAGATTTGTGCGTGTGTCTTTTTGTTTTTGTTTTTTGTCCCACTTGTTTTTTTGTTTTGTTTTGTTTTTTTCCGGGGATTAATATCGTCATACAAGAAACATGTCGTGTTTTCATATTTGTGTGCTCTTGTTGTGTTCATTTACAAGTTTTCATTGATCAATGTGGTTGTGCCAGTTTAGTGTCCACCAGCAACGCAAGCGAGCGGGATGACGCACGACCGGAACGAGACCTAAAATATTCGATTTTTCTTACTATTAGCGCTCTTCAATCTTGAGACCTACAGGCCTATAGGGTACACGTTTACAATTAGCATTTACGCCAGGGGAAGGAAAGTGAGATATCCGATTCTTCGTGAGAGATGAAACACTTCAAGGTTTAGGTAGCTAATTTTTTTGCCAATTCAGGAAGAACCTGAATTAACATATTTCCAATAGGCTTGCGTAGAAACAGGAACGTGAACAACGTTTCTCTCTTCCTGTGCAGGTATTTCTGTTTTTCTTTTGCATCTCAGGTAAGTGGCTGCGACAACCTTTTCTTATGAGTCTTTGCTCTCTCTTTAAATATCTATCTACCGCGCCACATTCTTCCGAAGGGCTAGTTGCACATGCATGCTCCATCACGTCTACATTGTACTATTGTTCTTCTGTATTCCAAAACTCGTCGAGGCTCAAACCGCTTAAAAAGGAAAATCGGACGTTCCGATACGCGAGCCTTCAGACACAAAGCGCTTTAATACGCATGCGTTTTGGTACAAACAAATAGTTCGGTACGCTTTTTTTTTTGGGGGGGGGGGGGGGGGGGGGGGAGAGGGGGGGGGAACAATAATTTGGCGTTTCCATTTTTTTTTTTTGTATTCCATGTCAATGCAGATTTCTTTTGGGTGCTAAGACTGTCTCGACACGTCAAATCATAGCACTCCCATACTAAGCGAAAATCAAGAATAGTGCAACCTCTTGCAACCAAAGCAATGGAGAAAGCAACAGGAGGGTCACAACTTGGATCTCCTTACGGGGCAAAATGCACAAGGAGCCTAGTCAAAAGAAAAAGAAATCTACGATATTTAATCAAATTTTATTATTACAAAACATTTTAGTCGAACAAGAAAATTTTCTTTGATTTTAAATGCGAGGGAATCCCATATATCCATCAAACTAACCGCGAACTGAAACAACCGGCTGTTAAAACGATCGTATAACAAAACGTCTGCACCAAATCTATGGTCCCGAAACATCCCATATCGAAACATTATAGACTTCTTAAAAAGAAACGCCCTGAAAGCACCGCATATTGACAGTTCAAGAACTCCATGTCTCACTTGACCTTCAAGCGGCCAAAACGCAAACAGGTGCTCACCTGCAAAGGGGCCCAGGTGAAGCGTAAGCAGGATCAGAAAACGATTCGCTCGAAGCACGTTCTCGGAAACCTTGAGTGTGCTGGAAGAGTCGGACGATCCCGCCCTGAAGGATCTCGTGGCGCATATCATCTTGCATCGATGTTCCGCGCTCTCGAGCGCCCTTTATCGAAATCGTTTAGTGCGCCACGCGCGACGACAGTATACTCGAAATATGCGTGTGTCGACCTCGCGTGCCGCTGCAGGAGCTATTGTTGTAAACTTTGCTTGCGTAATACGCGTCGAACACGAGGTCCCGGCCTATAGCGTCAACACCAGCTGTCACGCGGAGTCGTGCGGTGACGTTGTTGTGCAGTAAGGGCAGCTGCCCCCGGACCTTTGTCCAAATAAAAAAACGAAAAAGAACATCGCGCAATGCCTCCCCGCTGACTGTTTCTATAGAATCCGCCGTCTAAAAGAGCGGGGATGACGGCGCGAATCAAGGAAGCCGTTTTTGAGTGTCCAGCAACATTGCTTGAACGCTGCACAGAGGCAATTTATTCGGTGCAGTACGACTGCGAAATTCAAACCTGGGAGATTATCAAAGCAGTAACGACCGCGCGTCGGTACGATACTCAACCACATCGAAACGGGCATGGGCGGGAATCGAATTCAGAAATGATCCTAAGTTCCGTAGCGCTAACTTATCCCCTTTGCTCCGAGCTGTGGTGCGCCAAGAGGCTTGGCCGTCTGAATCGCAACTTTTGGCGAAATAAGAAGAAAAGAACGAACTGCCCTGCCGCGTCATTATTAGATGCACATTAATAACTCACAAACGAATGGGTTTGGCTTTTCCAAGCACGCTGATCGGTTTACAAGAGAATGTGCCATTGAGAAGAAACGGCTACGAGGGGGTTCTTAGGGACCCGGGCCTTTCCTGAAATTTTCCAAAAAAGAAAGAGGCCCTCCCTCTCTTGGTCAGATTGACGTCAGAGATTGCAAAAGACGTCCGAATTAGCTAAACATTTACCTAAAATTTAATCATTTACTATTTAGTCGGTAAGAATTAACATATCGTTTGAATTAGAAACCTGCTGGGTGTCATCAGTCAGTCCATTTTAGGTCAGCCAGTCACTTTTAGTGCGACTTAAAGCACCTGGGAAGCGCGGGGGCGGCGGCGAGCGTTGTGCAGCAGGCGCACAACACCGCGCAAGGCCGGCAATGTAAAAGCGCTAAAGAATATCATCCGCGTTTTCGCAGCGTTTTTTTCACCGCCCATACAAAACTAGGCATCGCTGAACACATGTTTCCGCCCAAAGTATGGCGGTCAGAGCAGTATACCAAGGTTTCAGCGCAAACAGATCGTATTCAAAGTTTATGTTGCTTTCTGAAACTTTCAATGGGTAAATGGGGCCCCTTGCTGGAAGTTTCCGCCATTCAATCCCATGCATTCCTGGGCTCCGTCGGTCACCATTTTCCCATTGAAAATTTTCAAAAATCTTATAAAATTTGAATCAGACAACGGTTTATCTTAGATTCTTAGAACTTTGGCATCTGTTCCGGACTGATAGCGGTACATTTCAGCGGAGACAGCGATCAGAAATGCGTAATTAAACTTATCAATTAAATAACAAAATTTGGCGGGGAGGGGGGGGGGGGCTTTCTGTATGTTGGAAAGGGGGGGGGGGGGGGCGCTCGCCCCCTCCAAAGCCACTTTGCTCATATTGAATGGGTTAAAACAGCGCAGAAAGACGAAGGACCAGTAAAAGAAACCACACAGACACAGCGCTGTGTCTGTGTGGTTTCTTTTACTGGTCCTTCGTCTTTCTGCGCTGTTTTAACCCATTCAATATGACCATCAACCAACTCGCCCAACTTTCCACCTTGTTCCACTTTGCTCGTTTTTTTTTCTCTTCTCCCCCTCGATCAAACCAATATCTGAAATTCGTCCCCCCCCCCCCCCCTAGAACCAATTATATTCATTAACATTTGTTTGAAACTTTGCATAATGAAATAAACAAACATAGTGCTGCGCTTCTTCAGTGCGCCAATCTTTCTGCTCGGCGATTTTAACTTTCCCGCTATATCATGGGCCAGTGACATTAAGTGAAAAAATGTGAACTCTGCGGAAAGTAATGCATTTGTTAACTTGTGTTTATATTTCAACTTTTCGCAAGTTCGGCGGGACCTAGCCCCCCCCCCCCCCCCCCCCCCCCCCTTTTTTTTTGGGGGGGGGGGGGGGGGAATTGAAAACTTTCCATCTATGCTCTGAACCGCAAAACACCCGAAACTCCCGAGCTCAAAATGACATGTTTGTTTATTCAAGCAGGAGTTCAACAGGTATATCCTGCAAAAGAGCGTGCGTAGTCTGTCATAGAGAGCTAAACATCCGGCCACGCACCAAATAAAGAAATAAAGGGTCAGGGATTTGGGTGGACATCCTTTCAGGTTAAGAATGAGATGACAAGCACCCCAAGAACAGGCTACGCCTGCGGAAAAGGGATTAAGAAAGGTCACAAGGGAAAAATACGAGGAATGAACGGAAGGACCACTAGAAAGTCACGAAACCAGGAAAAAAAAAAAGTTCTTCGACAGTTTATGGGGGTGAGTTTGGGGGTTTGAGAGTTCAAAGATAGCAACGGCGAATCTACGCTAAGAGTGTTTATAACCGGGACGTATATGACTAACCTTGAGAAAGTTAACGCATTGTGAACTGCATGTCACAGCTGGAACGAAACCATTAAACTCTGCATGAAACACATGGTTTTAAAATGAATGACCTTCCCGCCGGCCACAACGCCCGCAACTTGACGCTACAGACTTGAGCGGAGCACTTGAATTTGTTAGCAAATGAAGAGGAACGGAAAATAAATAAACTGCAGTTGAAGAGTTTGAAAATTTATGAAAAACCCTGGGTACAGTTCAAAGCGAGAATTATGGAAAACATAGGGACACAAATTTGTTCATGCTAGATGGCGCTACTTTCCGCCTAATACTTACACGAAACACCCTTCTTTTCTTGCTACATTTGGTGGGTTCTCAAGCGGCATTCGGCCACCTTGATTGTTGTCATGGCGGCCAAGAGAAAGCGTGATACAGTTGACGACGAAGGAGAAATTGCCAAATTTAATGTTCCTGCTCATATAAAAAGTCAAGAAAAACGTCTCATCGTAGTCCTAGAAAACGCAAACCTGGAATCGATCAAGGTAAGCCTGGTGGACGCCTTTAGAGAACTTTACGATCGGTATCGATCCGTGCGGCGTGTTTTGTCAGCGGCATGCGTGGTTTTCACGCCGGCTTCTATCCATGTGCGGATTTGATTCTTGTTTACTTTGACGCGAGAACACATAAAGTAGGTAGCATCATAAAAGTAGGTCCCGATTGTATCTATGAGTGCTTGCTGTCGGTTGTCTAACGGATGAACGACAAACGGTATGCGTTACCTCGTGTGTTTTCAGGTCGGCAAAGCGTTCGAACTTCTCAACTGCGATGATCACATTCAACAAATGCGGAAATTCAAGAAGGATCCAGCCTTCTGCAGACCAGACATAACACATCAGGTCAGCACCGCGACTGCACGTGTTGAAACCTTTCTAAGCTGCTAACGTTTGGGTTTTAATTTAAAAAAAAAATGCAAATAACCAGTTGCCGTAGGAAAAAAAAAAAACGCTTTGTTTTTTTATTTTAAAACTCAATTAAGGAAAAAGAAAATAACTGCACGTTTTATTTTAAATTTACGTGCTTGAGACGTTTTTCTTTTCCCATCTGTATATTGGATAACTAACTCGTAAATTGGATAACTAACGCAGACAGCATAGAAACTGCAAGTTTTAGCAATGTTCATCTGCTCCTTTCAATTAACAAATTATCCCACTTCTCTAATCCGCCAGTCTATAACTTCATGTCCCCCCCCCCCCCCCCCCCCCAAAAAAAAAAAAAAAAAGAAAGAAACTGGTGGGACTTTTATGTAGTTTGAGTCAACCTTTATTTCTGTGGTAAACATGAGGGTGAGTGAAGAGTTTTTCGGCATCACCTCGTACAGCCCACAAAAAGCAAACCAGCACAGAAACTTGTTACAAACACTTGTGAGTGCCCGGTTTTTTTTTTCCCCGGATGCTGAACGAAATGTTTGGTCTCGGTAGCACCGTAGCATGCTTTGTGAAGAGTATTTATTTACAAATGATACATGGTTCTATAGGCAGAAATTAGGACAATTTTTCCAGTATCATACTTATCGAAGCATAGCATTGTGCTGTGGCACCTTGAACTCACACTCCGAGGTCACTCTTTTGAGTGACCTTACTCGGCCCTTTTTTTAATGCGAAACCATTAACTGTCCCATAGAGTGGAGCTGGCGTTGTCCGTAACCGCGAAAAACGGCAGAGAAATTCCCTGCACGAAACAGCTCTTAAAATGGCTGCGACGTGGCTCGCGTGCCAGATAGTTCCAAGGAACGCCACCCCACAAAGAAGCCCTCTCCTGGCGCTTCTCCTGCATGCCGCAGGAGCAGCGCACACCCGCCGCTCCGCAAAGACTGCCCAGCTGGCGTCTACAGAGGATAGCGGGGCGTGCAGCTTTTAGGAATACGCTACGTATATGAATGCTTTTGCATTCCTACACGTAAGCAGTCTGAACTGTCCTCTGTAATTTTGTTTTATTTGAAACTGTAACTATCTTGTTTTCACAGTTGTCGAATACAGATTTCATTAGTAATTTCTAGATCCAAGTGTTCGCCATCAGGTGCGAGGTTGAACTACATAAATTCACCATTCTGTAACAATGAAAGAGCATAGTGAAGCAAGAGTTGCCTAAACAAACATTTTCCTATGCCATCGAAAATTGACATCACAAGATAAAACATTTTTTTTTGTCACTTAAAAAATTGACAATTCAGCTGGGAGCAGCGAGGAGCAAACCGAAACACCACGGAAGCACACTCGTGTATGCTCAAGCATGGTATTTAAGGGGTTACCTGCGAAACATGTTGTGAAACAGCCTCAGATAAACAGGGACGAAGAATGGGTAAAAAATACGACAGGACAACGGCTGTTGTCCTGTCGTATTCTATTCACCACCTTACTTGGGTTACCTGGGACCCATATCTGCGTTTTCGGAGTTTATTTTTTTTTTTTCTAGAAATTGGGGGTATTTGTTTTTCTGGGTTTAATTTTTTCGTACAGATTCTGTGTTTTTTGTGTAAATTGGTTATGGGACAAAACCAATTTACACAAAAAACACAGAATCTATAGGAGAAAATTAAACCCCCCCCCCCCCCCCCCCCAAAAAAAAATACCCCCAATTTCGAGAGAAAAAAAAATGAACTCCGAAAACACAGAACCCTAGCCATATCCAATTGAACGGCAGTATCGTTCCTGCAGTTACCCGTATGAAAGTGCTCTTAGATGCTGCCAGACAGGAGTGCGATACTCTGTTCATATTGTGGCACTCTAACATGGCTACCTAGACTATGCTCGAGAGCCGTTTCCAAGCTTAATACCGCAAGTGATTGTCACACCAGGTCGACGTACTTCTCATGTCGCATGCTGACATGCACACCAGGAAGAATGGCTACCTCATAGTTATTTGGATACAGCAGCAGTGTTTATGTTTATTAGTAGAGAAGTTCCAACGCCACCTCAGCCAGTTCTCATAAAAGATGCGTGCTTTCTGCCTCCTACCCTAGAGTGAGGTTTCATACAACAGTCAAGGCACATGACACTCCTTATGTTTTCAGCTGAAAGTCTGGTCTTGCTCGACATCGAGTGCCAGCTACGAGCCTCTGCTGAGTGAGGGACAGAAAGAACCTGGTACCTTCTCAGGAGGAATCCCCCTAAAGAAGAAGCGAGCGAGCCAAAATAGATCCGTACTTGTTCTTTCATCCTCACAAGGAGAATGCCATATACTAGCAACCGGGAAAACCGGGAATTGTCAATTGTCAGGGAAATTTAGTTACTGAGAAAAATCGGGGAATTGTCAGGGAAATCGTCAAAAAGTGAGCCCAGTCAGGGAAAATGGGCCGGAAAGGCCATCGAGTGCTCTGAGCAAAGACTGCAAGACATCGAGTGCTCTGAGCAAAGAGCAGAGGCAAGAAAAGTAAAATGAAAGAATGCAAGAAATTATACAGTAATACAAGCTACTTCCACCACAAAAGCAACAAAAAGCACCAAAAAAAGAATTGACAACAGTGACATTTGCCCACACTAAGACAGTGATTGGATGGCTGAACACAAAGCAAAACAAACAAATTTACAAAAATTATTTTAGCATATCTCAGCAGCACAAAAAAATAGCTTTCCCTGCTTTCGTACATTGCGCAAAGTTCAGTGTACCTGCATGTGTACATATCAAAATTGACAAGGTGACAGCTATTGAATAAAGATGGCGCTAAATGACAGTGGCATTCTTTTCCAGAGTTTCGTCGAGTTGTAGGTGCTGTCCAGTTTTCTTTATATCTTGTAGAATAGCTGAAGATTTTTATTTGCAATTGGGCCAGATGACGTACACTATTGCAATTATTTCATGTTTCTGATTTATAGCGGACACTCAAACAATATCTGTATAGGTTGTAGGCTTTGACCCTGCGGGAACGATGAAAGAAAATTGCACTTGGTGTTTCATACGGTGCGTTATAGATGTGCTGTATATATTTATTTTGCATTAAGTGACCATGCTGTAGGTTTGAAAATGTAGTTGTCCCCTACACCAGTGAGCAATAGTTAGATGTGAGTAAAAGAGTGAATTATGAGGAAGCAACTTAAATTGCGTGGAAAGAAGGTGTCTAATCCAACACCAACTATGCTTGTAATTTCCATGTCATGTCGGAGGAAATACAACACCGAGACACTTTAAATGTAATACGGCATAAAATATCAACATTTCGGAAAATCAAATCGTGGATAATCCGCACAGCACCAAATATCAACCTTTAGAAAAAACTCAGCACAATGCAAAATGTTAACTTTTAAATATGTATAGTCTGTGAACTATAGGGGGGAAAGACGGTAGTACCCACATTAAATCTTTCTCCTCGCTCTGGAAAAATGCTCACACATACTTCAACTCGCACGTGCATTAGAATTCTCATTAGAACCGCTGGTGTTTGTTTACTTCATCATTCACGGTTCTGCTCCTATGACCAGTGACAGGTTGAGAATTTGGTGGTAAATTCTCCTCTAAGGCGTTCATATCGCCCTTCTAGTCGCTTGCTACTTATCGTTTTCATGATATCATGGCCTTAAAAATGTTTTCTTTAAAATGGCAGCGTATCTAACACACAGGTCGTTGACGGCGCTGACAGATGCTGATTTCTCACATCAGTTTTTTTGCTGTTTACCTACTCTGGCTTGTGCCGCAGAAATGTTGGTATAAGTTTTTGTTTGCAGTAGTTCCTGTGAGGTGATGTGACGTTTGGGCGGTTGGGTCGCCATCCAAGTGTTCAGTATATGCACCGACTCCATCGAGCTGGGTTAGCTACCTCCGAGAGGCTTCGCCTGACACCGTCCTCTTTTCTTTGTTCGTTTTGCAGAAGTCCCTGCCTCAAGTTGTGTCACAGAGTTATGGCAGTCTCACCTTTCATTCCTGGTGGTTTCTGCAGGGCGATGTGAACATGGTGTGGCCATCACCATTCAAGTGGTTACATCACGTGAAGTGTGCTCGAGTGACTTGCTAATGCCGAACTGCTTCACCGTACGCTGTCTACTGTACTTCTATAACAGCAGGCTTTGTATATAACAAATGAAGGCTGCCTGTCACAGTGAAGCCTTCAAAGGGGTATTTATTTATCTGTGAAACATGGCATTTTTCTCAAGTTTTGGTGTTGCTGTTGGGCGCATAATAAGCCGTGATTGGAAGACCTCATTCCACCACACATGAAGGTGTCGAGGGACGAAGTTTTAACCTCGTCCACTTCCACCTACGAAACTGTGTGTCAACTTATCACTCTAGTGTTGTAGAGATAGAAAACATTTTGGCCGTCTTCTTTGTACTGTACAGCATTCACGCAAGTATCTTTGCTGCCACACAATGATGTCATCCTGCTTGGTCAGCAGTGAAACTCGCTGCTGATTGAGTGGAGCTGATGATGCACATCAGTGTTTCTATAGAACTGTTTTTTCAAGAGCAGAGGGATCTGAAGCGGCATGCATAACGCTTGGGGGCAGAGCTTCTGAATCTTTTACTTGTCACTTACTATAAGGTGGTCCACTTCATCACTATGGTTACTCAAGAGGCGAGTGCTTTTCTTTAACCAGGGACTGGAGCACGCATGATGCTCCCCGCCATGGGAGTTATGCACTCGTTTCAAATCTCTACTATCGAGAACATAGTGCATTGTTCGCTCCGCAACGTTGGCAACTCCAGTTTTAGGTGTGAGTAGAGGAAAGAAAGCGCGCTGTTGATCGAGCGGGATGACAGCATCGCAAGGCAACAAAGGTGCCTGTGTTACTTTGCATGAAACGGAGAAGAGGTCCCAATCATTTCCTACCCTGTGTGGTCGAAAGTGACGGCAAAACTTAGTTGTAATTTTGTCCCACGACACCTACGCGTGCGATAGTGGTAAGACTAGTCATTCATTGCTTACCTGACTTACCATCTGAATTATCGCAACGGCGACATGTGTCAAGGGTGCCAATTTTTACAACTGAGTACCTACCGTTTTGAAGGAGTAATTTCAGTAGGCATCCTTTATAAAATAATGCCAGCCGAGTAGCAGACTGAGTCTGGTGAGGCAGCACGGCAGTGGCATTGCTTGAGCACCTTGCCCAGTGTACCACATCGGTAGTGGTGACTGCAGCATTTTCACGTCACCCCACAGAACCACCGCGAAGAAAAGCTCCTACCGACTCGATTTCGTTATGCAAGTTATGTTGGGGGCAAGCAGAAAATGAACAGGGAGAAGCCATTGGCACCATTGAACTATGCCAACCATTATCTTTATGGTTGTAAGGGTTTGACCCAACGGGCACAGAAATTCAACGGCGACGCGACTGTTAAATTTTCACATGGTCACACAGTAACTACTGTAGACAAAAGCGAATACTGGTGCAACTTTGTGGCATGAACCAGTGTAGGCAAAAAAAAAAGCAGAAAGATGACTGCGAGAAGCCGGTGTCCCTTGGCGCCGCCACCAACGCACACTGCCACGTCGAAAAAGTTTCTTCATAAGGCTGTGATGTTAATGACTTCAAGGAAACAAGCGGAAGCAATTCACTGCTGAAGTGATGTGAATCTTTTTTGGAGACATTTGCTGGCTGCATTTTTATCTCGTCGCCAACCATGTCAACGCATAGATTTTGTCACAAACACAGTCTTTACAAATGTACCTCGTTGCCAGATTTCTGCTTTCCACTATCAGTGAGACTCATTTGAAGTGGGCTGAAAATGTGTTGCATCCAGATTAGACAACTCACTCAAGTGCACTAATCTTCTTAAAAATGAGTGGCAATAATATCCACAGATTTGTCCTTTAATTTTTGCTTGTTTTGTAACATTTCTAATGTTTGTCATGGTTGACCACCTGTTTCAGTGTCTCCTGATGCTGTTCGACAGCCCTCTAAACAGGGCAGGCCTCCTCCAAGTCTACATTCACACGGAAAAAAATGTGCTAATCGAGATCAACCCCCAGACGCGGATTCCAAGGACGTTCAAGAGGTTTTCAGGCCTAATGGGTGAGTGAACATTGGTAGAACATCTTGCACAAGCACTCCAATTGTGCAAACTATTATTTATGAGAAATTATTTTACTGGCATCATTGCACCATAACACCTGAAGCTCTGTAATTGTTTACCAACAAGTTTCTTCGTCTTTTTCTTTTCGTACGAGACACTTCTGTCTCACACTTGTGGAAAATGCGTATAGCAGCCGCCTTCAGCTAGCACCCTTGATTGCCAGAGAGGGTCTGATGCCGCATTTTTCATTCAAATCTTTGTTGGAGAGCAAATTTTACCAACGATGGAGGTGCTTGTTGTTGCCTCACACTGGTGTGCTTGCGTCTGCTGCCAGCCTCATCAAATGCTGCCTACAATCAATGCACTTGCTTCTCCGCAGAGTGATATTTTTGATCTCATGGATGGCCTCTGCAAATGAAGGGGCATAGATGAGTATGGTTCTGAGTGAACCATAAACTATTCTTCAGTTTCACACAATCTGTGTTTTGCCGTTCAGCAAAGGTAATAGGGCATAAAAATTCAAGTGTGTCTCGAGTTCTCATGCCTGTTCAGTCTGTGATGAGATGCTGTCAGAAGTGTTACTTCAGAAACTTTGAATGAGCACCCAACAGCGATGGCTGCATCGACGCCATCCCGATTTCCCGATTGCATTTGCTCTCCTTGTACTTGGGTAACACAATGCCAGTACTGTTACGAACAATAGGTATTACTTTGCCCAGTTCTTTTCTTTTGGTGAAAGGAAATTTCTTTAGTACGTCTAAATGATGAATATGCACAAGTGCCATAGCTTAAGAGTGTAGATTACTATGTGCCAAAAGGCAAAGCAACAGCCATATAGATTACTCATTGGGAGGACCGGTGGCTGAGTGGGCTAGCACACACCAGCTCGGAGCACATGGAGCGAAAGCTCGTGCTGCAGAACCCAGGGATCCTGGGCTCAATCCCCACCCCTGCCCGTTTCGATCTGGATGAGCATCATACCGGCGTGCGCTCGTGTAGCACTACTGCGTGGTGCTCGTTATAGACTCCAGCCTAGCGCTTGTACTGCACTGGCTAAATTTCTCATCTGCAGCGAGTGACTCGTCGCAACTTTGAAATGGCTGACCATTTACATGCTGTCTAAATATCCACACGACCCCAATTATTTAGATTACCCATCCTAGCTAATAGCTTAGAGTAAAAACGAGATTCTTATCAGACCTCCGAGCAAAATGGTCACTAAAACTTGAGCCGGTAAAGCGGTGTGTTAAAAGGCCCAACATTGTAAGTTGCACTCAGGCGATGCTATTACAGATATTTTCGCAGCTGTCAAGTTAAAACTCGACGTGGAAAAGGAATTGTACAAAGTAAAACCAAAGAGCCAGAAAATAACTTTTTTTAGCGTTTCCTCGCGTTGCAGTTCAGTTATCTCACAGGGGTTACAAGTAGGGTGTGTATTTTCCGGTTTTAACCGAAAAACGCCGATAAACACCCGTCGGTGACGAAAATACAAAATCGGTTAAAACCGAAAAACACCGGTGGTTGGATATTTTTACCCTGGTTAAAACCGAAAAACACCGGTCGCTGCACGTTTCCGACCTAGCGAAACCCTTTCCCCGTAGGGGTTCGTCAAACGTGTTATCCGTGGATCCTGCATTCTTCCAGTGTCTATACATGGCTTGCACGTCGCGTCAGTCCGGCCTCCTTTCTGGGGGTCAAAAGCGTCTAGTTAATGCAGTGGAAGCTAAGCTCTCACATGCCTTTCCCCCATTGTGTCGCCCATGGCCCCCTTTTGTGGGAAAATCAACGCAGTGGAAGTTACGCTCTCACGTGCCATTTCCCCATTGTGTCTGGCCAAGTAATGTCGGTGCAAGCCATGTATTTAGAGGTTGCTGTGGTTCCTGGAAGACACTGCCAACATCCGTGTCGTACAGGGCTACTGACCTTTCAGAAATGAGATGCGCTCCTTGTTATCTGTTTAGTTTCCATGGCTTCTGGGGAAATGGAAAAAGGGTTTTGTTGGCGGGGGAGTTTTACACTGTATATAAAAGGACCGTTCTATAAAAAAAATTGCAGACGTGTTTGAGAAGGCGCGTCCGTCCCGCGTCTGCGGGTTTTCTCAACGCGAGACTTGCTTCCCTTCGTCGTCACGCGGAGTAGAAGGCCACCAGGATAGGAAATAAGCGGAAAGCTCAGGATGACTACGCTACAGATTTCATGGATGAATCGTCGTTCTGGTTCCGCGTGCCCATTGTTAATCCGTGCATAAACGTGGAGCTGCCAGAGGGATTTGTGCTATATGAAAGTATCTATCGGCTGGTCCTCCGAGACGAGAGCTAGCTGAGTGACCTAGAATCAGATTTTCTTTGTTACCGCCAGTATGCTGTGACTAGCACCGTTGATCCAGTGTTATTTTGGAAACTTCATTTACCTGACTGGCCACTACTGTCCCAAGTTTCGCTGGACATTTTGGGATTTCCTGTGTCCAGCGCAAATGTGGAGCGTGTGTTTTCAAAATTACGGGTTGTGAACCGCAAGGAACGTGCTGCCATGACAGATGCAAGCCTCTCAAAGTATGCTTGCATCTACTATAATAACCAAGTATGAGAAATATATGCTTCCTCGAGAAGTGTATGAAATATGGGAATAAAATTGGAACTCTCTGTCTGTGATGAATCACTTTTTGTTTCCACCGATAATCACTGATTTTAGCCTCGTCGTGAGACGTTCCACCGAAATACACCGGAGTTTCGAAAATAAATAAACACCGAAAAACATCCGCAGATTTTTCTCACAAATAAACACCGGTAAGTACACACCCTAGTTATAAGCTCCAGACTGCAGTTGCATACTGTTATTCGCCGTATCATTCCATTAAAGAGTGGGTGAAACGTCGGGTGCACAAACTTCTGCTCTAAGCCTAAGGGCAGTCGCCTGTCATTCGGTGTTTACAGCGTTTTTGCTGGAAAATAATATGTTTTGTAATTCTATTTGTGTTGCAGTCCAGTTACTCCACAAGCTCTGCATCAGGGCTGGCTCTGGTTCAGTAAAACTTCTCAAGGTATTTGGACGTTCTGCTCTTTTAAAGGGTGCTGAGGTCGATTCAGAGATTGTCCTTTTGTGGTGACAACTCAATCTAGATGCTCTAAGCATCCCAACAAACCCGAAATCGAAAGCGTGGGTAGCTTATTTCCTCGTTAAAGCATTGAAAGATCGCAACATGCCCTTTTTGGGAAGAATTTTTTTTCCGAGTGAAGTGGTCGACGAAGGGCGCTTGTCGGTGAGTTGCGAGTGATGGCTTCGTCTGTGGAAAAAAGAGGAGTCTTATCCAAATGTGTACCTATCAGACTCTCTTAAAAACGAGTTATAATGAAATCATTCGAAGTCTGCGAATTGTAGGGGGGCTCCACACAATGTAGTCTGCAAGTAAAAAGAGTCCACACGTTTTTCTATTGCCCTGAGATGGAAGAGGCGGTTTTGTAGTTTAGGACTTTGTATATGTGGGAACTAACACATTTCAAACAATATAAGACCAAAACCACCTTTTTTTAAAATTGACTTTAGTGCCCCTTTAAGGCTGGCTGACACATTTGATTTTGACTGTGATTGACTGCGCCACAACTACATCTGGCAGCTAATGATGAGAGAACACGCTGGCTTCATCTATCGGGTGGCCCTGGATCCCTTTCGATTTACAGATACAGTAGTCCTTCATTATAACAAAATCTCTTATGTTCCCTCCCCCTCCTTCACCGGGGCGAACAGCAAACTGGGAAAAGGGAAAACAAGAAAACGGTGATGGAGGGCGGAGTGCACTGAGTGCTGCTTCCGACTCCGTTGCGCCGGTGCGGCCAGGGACCAGTTTCCACGTTCCGCAACTACCCACGGCCGACGTGCCCCAACTCCGATCGGAAATGGGTCAAGGAAGTGAAGGAGCCTGGAGTAAATCATCTCCTTGAGAGCCCCTGACGCATGCCTGCGTGGGCGCGTCTGTGGCGTACACGTGCGTCGAGTGGGACTAGGGAGTGTGGGAATGTTTACCGAAAGTTGCTTCGATTCGCGAGGTTAAGAAAAGTGGCCGGCCCAAGTCTGAAATCACCGAGGAATTCGACACTGTGCACCATTTCGCGGAACAAGCGAAACATACTGGACGGGTTCCAGAAAAGCTTCTCATGCAAGAATAAGTGCACCCTCTACTCGAAGATGAAAGATTGCCAGGTGCCTTGTGCGTGTTAAATTTTCTCTCGTACACACGCTTGCCAAGCTAGTGCACGATCCCAGAGCTGTAACAATCTCTGCAAGAGTGTGTGCAAACAAGTTGGTGAAGTCACCAAGGGTAACTTCGATTTGTTCGCGCTTGTCGACGCGGACATTCCCGTTGTTGTTCCTGCCACGGATGCTGCGATCGTAGACCTTGTGTGTGACAAAGGTAAACACAAAGCTGCGTCGGAGCTTCGTGTTTACCTCTGTGTTTCCGGAGGGTTTTCCTGTCCGGAAACACAGACGGCTACAGAGTTGCAAAAGTGGACTGCAGCAGCGGTGACAGTGGTCTTGCGATGCCTTAAGCGATTCGAAAACTGCTGCCCGGATGAAATTCCACTAATTATTTTCTTACTTCTCGGTTAAGCTGCCATGACTTGTTCATAGCCGAGGTTTGTTTGGTTAAATATACGATTGGAGTGTTCCACAGTCTCCCTATCCACCTTCAAGGCTGCTGTTTTTTTTTTTTGGCTCTCTCGCTTTTATCAAATTGCCACCTATATCGAAATCTTTTTTGCCGTTCCGTCGACTTTGATTTAAAGAGAAACAACTGTAAATGGATCGAAGGTTTTGCAGTATTTGCAACATCAAATCTATATACTATCTATCAGAGACGGTCTCTCATGACAGTGCCAAAACCATCTGAAGCTCACGGTGCAAGAAAGCTGCTTAAAATATGTGCAGATGTCAGGCGTCCCAGGGCTGCCCGGTAGGTGATGGAAATGTTTTTGTGCCACTTAAAAGAGGGTTTGGAGATCCTTGTCACCAGGTGTCTTTTGGACGGTTTCCTGATGTGAAGAGATTACTGGCGGAGGCAAAAACAAAAGCTCTTTTCCGTTTCCTGGGCGTGTCCCATAGGTGATCAAGAATCCCGTGACGGACTGGCTTCCTGTTGGCTGCAAGAAGGTCATGACGTCCCTGCGCGCGGAGAAGCTCGTCCGGCCGAGGGACCTGGTGCCCGAGACCAACGAACCCATCACCGTCGTCATCGGAGCCATGGCGCACGGATCGGTGGGTGGCTCCTTGTCAAGGAAATACTGTTACATGCAGATCGCCTGTGCGGCCGCCACGGTGCGGTGGCACTGATATTGAGGAAAGCCTCTGCATACGCAAAAGCTGCGGAACCACTTTTGCAGTGTGGACTCTCAATAGACCATTCCAGAAACGTGTGGTGCCAGTAGTAAACCTCTGGATACGCCCTGCGGCCCGAGGGATTCACTAATCCTTTTTTTTTTCCCCTTGTGGATCGTCTTTGGGAAGCTTGTGTCCATAATAATGTGACGAAAATGCGCATATATGCCCAATTCGTTCCAAAACTAGTTGTCCATTGTCCGGACGGAAGGTGTTAAAAATTAAGTTTTACTCATTTGTTTTAGAAAAAGCTGCGAAAGCTACACTAGTATGTTCTGTGCAGGTGAGTTATACGGTGTCACTGCTGTAGATGGCAAATGTAAGGAGTGAAGTACCACCACTAGCAGTGGCGAATGTGGTGTAGGCCGATGGGGCTTCTCTCTCTAGCTGGCCACATGAACCACCTGTCTTCCGTGTGGACAGTGAGTTTGATACGCCAATTTTGTTTGTTGTGATTGTGTTTGTGCTGTCGGTGCCAGGACAAAGGCATGCGTCTATCTTTTGACGCTGTGCCCCTTAGGCCTTAGTTCACGTAACCTTAGACTAGACAGCGGTCCGAATCAATAAAGAGATCACGGCGCCAGCTGTCATCAAAACAAGTGGGACAGACACGCAGTGCGCCGTTTAAAAGAGAAAGTTGTTCTTCATAGTAAACCACGTGTGTTCTTTTTTTGTCGAGGCGGTTAGTTTTACGGACAGGGCACAGTCCTGTTTTCTTCGCCTGCAAGCTGTGGGTACCATTCTAACCCCTCCGAAATTTGCCTCCTCCCAAATTCTGCCACCCAAGGCTTCAGGCTGTAAGTACTCCACTGAAGCTTCAATTGCAAACTGTGACTGCGAAGTGTGCAGGTGGCTGGAGTATTTCCACATGGAAGTTCTAGATTCTTGTGTCTACATATCTGTACAATTTCAAGAAGCATGCATATTGGAAGATATCGACAGCCTTGGCCATAATATGGCAACGAAAAGGACACTGCTAGACGTACGGTTGAAAGATCTTAAGGAGTGGCGTTTGAGAAGGGAGAGCCACTGGAAATCTCGGGAGTGCAGCAGTAGAGAATCTTGAGCAAGGAATTACCAAAAATCTGAGATATCTGGTAGGAGCTTATTTGTATAGTCTAAGCTCGTTATAACAGACCTTGATTTTGACCAAGATTTTGGTCTGTTGTAAAAGGAGTATGTATGTTGTATGCAGATATAAAGTTGAGTCAATGGTATGTAGAGGAAAACCAACTAAACTTCACAAATCAGTATGTTATATCCAAATGTCTCTTGTAACCAGGTCTGTTGTAATAAGCTTAGACTGTATATCGTGAAAGTGCCATCCCCACTTTTACTGAAAACTGGGTTAATCAAGACATGGACACTTGTTCCACAACATCGGGCGGTTAAAGTATAAGTTGCAGAATTCTCAAGTTTGGGAAACGTTAAAGTGGGCGCTTGGGGGGGGAACAAAGTGGACACTTCTGCCGTATTTAGTGGTATATATTTTGTGCCTGTTGGGAGGGTGGCGGCGGGGCAAGGGGGAGGGGGATGTTCGAGGGGGAGGGGGCATTCAAAATGGTTTAATATGTTTGTCTATGTGTACCAGTTCACATCACCTTGTTTACGTTTGGTAATGAGGGTTAAGAAATTCTGGAACAGTATCACGCCTTTTTTTTTTTGACAAATCGTTTTAAAGATTTGCCAACAGCGGATGTCTCGTTCTTGGCTTGTCTTTGTGACTTTTGTTCTCTTTCATCTCGTGTAAATAGAAAATCTTATCTCTTACAGTTTCTTCCGATTTAAGAGTATTTTATTATTTGAAACTATCAAATTTGACACTAATTTATATCGTGCATTACAGCACTTTCATCTCCTATTGAACCTTCAATTCCCTGTTATACAAAAATAACTGCTGCTGCTTCAGCTACTTTTGTCAATTTGCCTGAAGAGCAGTCGAACGGTCTGCTGCTTTTTGGCACTTTTGCATCCCGAAGTTTAATTTGTTTTTAAAGAGTGCTTTGGGGGGGGGGGGACAAAACCAGCGTGAAAAGGATAAATTATCATTAGAAAATTTTAACAAGAAAAAAATATTGGGTGCGGGGGGTGCCCAATATTTCGCCACCCCCGAAAGGAAGTCCTGCGTACGCTGCTGGCTGTTAGCCTGGGGTTTATAACGTGCATTACCTACTAGGCATGGTTACTCTCGAGCAAGGAGACAAAAAGGTACGGACAGAGACGAAACTCCGAACGCAGCTCAAGATTTATTTTTCAGACCACATCTTTAACTCTTTCCTGACCGCACCCATAGTCCATCGATCACCGGTGATTGATGGTTTCCAAGCGCCGTCAAGAAAATAAGTTTAGTGCGGAAAATTATGTTCCACATTCCCATGGATAGCCGAAGAACTGCAGTTTGAATTTCAGCATAGGTTTGAGCTTTACCGCAAGCTGGGGGGCTGTCAAAAATAGTCTTTGGGAACGGTGGTTGCACTTGTCTCGTGGCTAACTGCTTGGATCAGTCTTTGTAAGAACGATGGAATTACATTTACATAATTCAACTGTATTGTGGCATATGCTTAAGACCGCAAGAGCTCTGGGGACACTTTAACTGATGATATAGGTATTGCTTAAAGGGATACTTCAACGAAATTTGAAATATACCTGTCGTGTTCAAATATAGGTTGACTATGATCCACAATATCCGTAAATGACAATCGCACGTTTGTATTTTGAGTCTAATGGCTGTATTTTTCGTTATAAACGGCCCACTCTGGCAAGCGCTCGGAGAACAGCCAGGGGAGAGCACGTGACATCCAACGCAGTCGTGACGTAGTTCGTCTCGGGACGGGCAAAGCTACAGCGAGGCTGGCGTCGAGAGGATGGCCTAGTCGTTCCAGCCACCGAAGCGGCTGCTTTTGTACGAATTTTGAGTGACGGGTTAATCTTCTATAATCTTCTAGGGGGACAATAGCGACTTCTGCGACACACAAAAGGGATTCTCGGGAAGAGGGGAGTTCCTCCTTCCCCTCTTCTCTCGTCGTGGCCGGAGGCGAGGCAGTTACCGTCACTACCTCTCAAGGTTCCTAGACGGGCATTACAAACGAGACGTTAGCGACATCTACCAGGTGCTCTCTACTAATCGTTTAATTTGTTTTAAAATTCCTTTTCGTGACTTTTTAAACAAGATATTGGTGTGTTCAATGTGATGCTGCTCCTTTGAACACATATAGACCAAAAAATAAGCGCCGAAATTTCGTTGTAGTATCCCTTTAACAGATGGTTGTCGGTAAGCATCACTATAATTTCCAATGCTGCCCCGAGCCGGCGTGCACATTTTATGATTCCAACAAGTGGGACAAAATGCTTAATATGAAGGAACTGCAATCAAGGCTATGACAAAACCAAGTTAGAACACAAAGAGCATACTGCTGGCGATGTGAGGTGTACTATCTGTAGTAAGAAACATTGAGACCAGGAACAGAAAGGACAAGGACAACATCATCTCATAACCAGCACAGAAATGGCTTAATTAAGGACAAGCTTCTTTGTTGTTCTCTAAAACACATCTCCACACCACCTACAGCTCTACATCGTGAAAGTCTTAAAGGACACATGCAAAGGAAAAAAAACTTTTTTTTAAACAGGCTACATGGAAAAAGAATATTATAAAATGAATTTACAACGAAGAAAAAATATTTAGAGCTATATTTACGGCGCAAAACAAATTTGTAGTTGGCGCCCGCGGGAGCCGCCGCAAGTCACGTGGTAGGCCCGCGCGCCGCCGCGCTGCGTTGCCGCCGTTGCAAAGTCTCCACCGCCGCACGCTGAGCGTTGTGCGACGCTGCTTCAATGCGTTTCTCCACGCCGCCGTCGCTGCCACCGCCGTCATCTGACCGGCGCACAGGTGTATAACGTCTGCTTGCATTTTTTCAGGGGTTTCCTTTGGGCTCTAAAAGTTTCTTATTAATCTTAGTTTTTTGTTATACTTCAAACAAAGAAGAATAGGTTACTTTTAGGCGCCATAGGAAGCTTCCGAAAGAGCGCAACACTACGTGATAAATAAGGGCCAGTCACGTGATAAACAAGCGCCACTTATTCGCGGCACCCACGGGCGCCAACTACAAATTCGTATAGCGCCGTAAATATGGGTCTAACATTTTTTTTCTTCGTTGTAAAATCATTTTATGACATCCTTTTTCCACCTAACCTGTTTTAAAAAAATGTTTTTTTCCTTTGCATGTGTCCTTTAAAGGGGCACTGACACCCCAAAGTTCATATTTTCTTGTTGTTGTCTAAAACAGTGCAAGTTGTAGTCATAGACACAAAAAAAATACAATAAAAAAAAAAAATTTCTCCTACGCGCACGCATGTGCCTTTTTATTTTTGGTGCTTTTCTCTTCCTCGTCTCACCTCCTTGCTTCTTTTTATTTGTGACGTCAAAACTTATGAACTTTAGAACCTTTGTAAGTGACATTTTTATAATATTTAATAACGGCATTCGTGAAACGTGTTTTTTAATGCAATTGCAAATGCATTAAAAAGCACTTTTTGAAATACCGAAAGTCGGAGTCTGGAGTGATGGCGCCTCCTAGCTTTTCATCCTCCCTCGGAAAACATAGTGGCACTGGCGGCGCTCGGCACACATAGCACTGAGGAGAATCAGTGAATCGGGGAATCGGACGAAGTTCTCTTTTTTAGGTACTTGACGACCTCTGACTTCGAAAAGGAAATCGTCAAACGGTCAAAACAACTGGGTTTGGTGTCTGTGTACCGTAGTTTCAGTTGTGACTCGGCTGGGACAGCCTTTCACGCGGAAGCAGCGCGACGTGGCCCCTCACGTTGCTCATAAAAGTCCACTGCGTGTCCTCTTCGACTTCACTCCGTTTAAAATAATTTGAGATCGCTGAAAGGGCCCTAAAAGAACTTCAAACTCAAAAGGGAAGCGTCTTCAGCTCACAGCGATAGGCGGCAGGCACGTAGAAGAGTTTGTTTGCGGGACGCGTGCAAACACAACACTTCAGGTCTGGATGGCTCAGAGGCATGAGAGAAACTTGAGTTGCAGGACGCCTCAATCTTTGATGTCAGTGCACTGGCACGGATCGCAAAGGAACTTCGAATTCGGCTCTAGGAAATCGTTTTTATTAGTTCACAGATATTGAGTTTCCAAGTTCCGAATTTTGAGGGTAATGTCCAGGCATTGTTTTCAATCGTTTTGGATAATAAAAAAAATATGATTTTGACCTGCAATGTCAGTTGAATCTGTGGCATTCTACCACAGATTCAAATGCAGCCTGAAGTTTTTGGTGCGCACCAACAGTTATAAATGGTAAAACCATGACCCCAGAAGCAAAATTCCATGCTAGAAGCGACGGTGTGGGAAACTTCATTACAAAAAGAAGGCAAATGCCACACTGCCACAGGACACAGGGGGACTAGAAAGACAAAAACACCGGTGTCTTGGACAGACAAAAAGAAGAGGAAGATGTCGAGCACACACAAATACCAGATGACACAAAGTCAATGAGAATAAAAATGCACTCACTACCGCACGACGCAAAGAAACTAAACATACGAAAACACCCGAGTCTCATCGTGCGAAGTCAGTTACGTCATATTTATACAATTTGAAGCTTGCATAATCCTAATAGTTCCCTTCATTATCCTCTTACCATAGAATACCGTGCATCCTCTCATTCCACGTTAGGCGGCCACACCCAAATTTGTGAGATCTGAGGAAATACACGTTGTACTTTTATATGTAAAATTGATGACGAGACACGCGCCCATCCCCTATTTTTTCGCGATCATCTTTAAATTTTGAGTGTGCGCTTGCCCGGTATTTTACGGTATAAGGATCTTTTTCTTTGCTAAGGACAGTCGTTTGCTCCCAATCTGGGAAACCATCATTACAAATAAATGATTTGGTATTCAATATTCGGTTCGATATTCAACTTTTTGGCAACTACCTACTTGCGCTGTTTGATTCAAACTTTATTCGTTTGACACCAATCGATTCACTCTACTCCACCTGACATTTTACCAGTCTTGTACACGTTACTAAAAAAAAGTAATCGATTACAATTACTATTACTCTTGGTTAAAAAGTATTTGATTAGATTACTTGATTACTCGACGACAAAAGTAATTGGACATTACTTAAAGAAGTAATCGTTAGTTTCCCGATTACTTTATTGTGTGAAGACACGTCTTTAGCGCTCATAACCAATGAACTACTTCCAACCTATATTTCACATTTGCACAAGTATTGAAGAAGAAAAACGGGCTCCCTCTTCACAATGCGGACACAAGCATAGAATTTGTTTGAAGACGTTTAATGATTTGGGCGTTCGCCAGTGTGTGTGTGTGTGGTGTGTGTGTGTGGGGGGGGGGGGGGGGGGGGCCGAGGGGGTTCTAGATCTTGTTAAGCTTCAGCAAGGGTTGTCGCTCAAAGTTTGCGTCGCTCTTTTTATTATTCACATGCGGATGAGCTCGCATGTTATACAAAAGAGCAGCAGCTCCACAATTTGAAACGGATCATGTGTAGTATCCATTAGCGGAAGAGATCGCCCCGACCACTTCTCAACTAGAAACATTGCTTGTCACAAAGACCACGTAGGGGAAATGGGGAAATATTTCAACTGCCTTTGTTATATTTTGCATCCGCTTTAGGCATTCTTCGGTTCTGGTTCTCCTACGGGCTGCGAGTAGTTACCCTAAGCAGGATTTTTTTTGTTTTTTTTATTTCTGTGTGTGTGTGTGCGTGAGGGGGCTAGTTTGAACGAAGGACTCACAAAAGTGCATTCTGCTTCCTCAAACTTCGCCCTGAATGGCCTTTGTCACGCACTGTGACTTCTCTGGGGCTTCCCACTCCCAGTCCCAGCTCGAAAAAAAAAAAAAAAAAAAAAAAAAAACAAAGAAAAACGGACATTCCACAGAAACTGTACATAGAAAGAGATTGACCTCGTTTCCTACAGCTCCGCAAAACTCTTTATTTTTTCCGTTCGAAAAAAAAAATTATTTTTGACATTTCATAAAAAAAAAGGCGTGTGCCGGCGGGGGGGGGGGAGGTCCCGTGGACAAATTGTAACGGTTACAAGTAATTTTATTACTTCAAAAAGTAATCAGATTATTCTTGTGATTACTGCCTAATAAAAGTAATCAACTGATTACAAAATTACTCCAAAAAGTAATCGATTACAAGTAATTTGATTACTTGTAATGCGTACGGTACAAGTCTGCATTTTACCCTTCGTATACACCTAGTCTTCACACCTGCCTTGCTGTAGAATGTGAGAGGCACATTTGTATGGCATGTCTGCTAGGGAGTGCAGGTTTCAGTTTGTAAATAAAGGTAGAGTTCCCTTGATTTTCCTTCTGTGCAAATAGCTATTAGTAGTCATAAAATATTATATTTGTTGTGTTCTATTTATTGGGGTTAACCCGATTATCCGCCACCCTTTAATTGAATAATTAATCAATTAGTTGGTCTCATTTATTTTTATGCTTAATGTTAAAATTTCGAAATAATTTTTTCGTTTATGTTTTGCTGGATATGTGATAAGCAGTGCAATATAAGACTTGGATTATGAATCAGTCTCGATCTGTAGTTAAGAACAATTCGAAGAGACTTGCACTCGCAGATTTTTACTCAGTGCATGAGGCAAAGAGGTTCGTTAATATTCTCCGGCAAGGTCGACCTTATTTGTTTGCTCACAATAGTCTCTGCTGAACTAAAAGGACACTCGCACGACATTGAAGCGGCCGGGACACGTGTAACCTTCTGCACTTTTCTGGAGTTACAAACCTCGTCCACACACTTTAGTTTATTCTAAAATTGCACCCAAAGTTTGCCCTTCACATACAGGTGTGCTCATCCAAGTCTGTGTGGTGAAAGCATTGAATTTTCATTTTTTTTTTAGTTCGAAATTTTACTGATCAACCTTTTAAAATATTTAATTGCAATTCAAGCATTACTTGTTAATCGGTAGGTTATTCAATCAATTGCTCAGCCCTACCTTTTATGTAAGGTGCAAATTAGATATTTTATTTGCAAACAGATTTTGCAAGAAGGCAGATTCTGTGTTTATTTAATGATTGCCTATCATCGCTTTTAGCCATCTTCAAAAAAAAAAAAAAAAACAGAAATCTACTTTTCTTTTTTATTGGGGTTGGGAAATTGAGTTTTCAATCTGCAATGCTCCCTTTCAGGTGACCCCCGACTATGTGGAAGACTCGTTTTCCATCAGCCAATACCCACTCTCGGCTGCTCTCACATGCTCCAAGCTTTGTTCAGCCTTCGAGGAAGCCTGGGGCGTCCATTGATTCTCATTGTTTGTATAGGTGCTCCCATGGCTGCATTTTCAACGTGATTCATTAAAGACCTATCCCGGCAGCTTTTGTGTGATCGAGTTGTTCTTTGCGGAAAAGTTTTGCTCAATGTTCTGTTGCTTGATGGCTTTTTATTGAGTTCTCCCGGTTTCGACATTCACAGCCATTGTAATGTTGTTTAGGTTGTCTTTATTGGGATTTCTAATGTGGAAGAGCTGATCTGGTGCCTGGCTTCTCAATCAGAGTTAAGTGCTTTCTTTTGTAAAGGTTAACTGAGTATTGCGTGCTTCCGGTCCTTTGTGAATTACTCAAGGGCAGTTGCACTCAATTTGTAAGAATCTGGGATTACGACTTCACGCCTAATGCCCGTCGGGGTAATTCTGCAGAATTTGATTCACAAAACCAAGAGTAGTTTTTTTTTGCGTGTCAAATGTTGGTATTCGTACTAACATTTGATCAAAGCAAACTTTTGTTGAATTACTTTTAATCTCCTGCAAATAGCAAATTTTGTGGGTGAACATGTAGATTTAAGCCTAAATTAGAACAACTCTTCAGAATACGCCTATAGTACTTTGTCTCACCTTTACATGTGCTAACTGCCAAGGCTACTACAAGTGTGAGCTTTTCTTTGATCACATTTTTTCTGTACGACTGCTCTTGCAGCAGAGGCACCAGCCAAGGCTTTTAGTAGCACTTCTAGCCTTTGTAGTTCATGTTAATTAAGGTAAAATGAAGTGTACTAAATGAATGACATTATTCAAGAAGCAGTATGTATGTAAATTTTAATAAAAATGACAGTCATAAAAAAGTAACCCGTTTAGAAACCTGCTGTTGTGCGACAGCGACCGCTGCTCTTGTTTTCTTTTGGAATTCAGGGCTATCATTAAAATAGTGTCGTGATGTAGGCGAGTTGGTTCATGGTAAACGGAAATACGTTGACGATAATCTGGTGGTTACAAGAAGGTCTGAAGGTGCCTCTGAAAACAGGGCTGTAAGAGCAGTGTTGGATGGGGTCACTCAGCATTCTGGGGGGCTGAGGTTTACCCATGAACTACAGGATGGGGCACACCTCCAATTTTTAGACCTTAGACTAGATTTGGAAGAAAGTCACGTGTGTTGGCTTTCCAAACCACGTTCTAAGAAGGGTCTTCTCCCTTACGATTCCGCCCACTCAACTCGTAAAAAGGAGCATTGCGTCCTCTTGCCTCCAGACAGCCTTGGAAAAGTCCTGCTACCATTTAATGTAAGACGGGTACAGCGGCTGACAGATGAAGGCTTCCCAGCATCAGTTATTCTGGCAGTGGCGCAAGCATTGTTAAAAAAGATTAAGGGAGGGTTAAGTCAGAAAAAAGAGAGACCCACAACCAGACCCCAGGTACTCCATTATTGCACAAACTCTCGCACAATTTGAAAAAGGTAGCTGGGCGGTTTGACGTCCCTGTTGTTTTTTCGGAACCTCGAATGTTGGCGCAACTTTGCCCTAGAATTGCGGAAAAGGCTGGGGGCAAGAGCCAATGTGCCGTAAAGTACAGGAACAAGTATGTTGATTGTGTGGTTGGTGTGGTATACAAGATCCCACTAAGCTGCGAAAGAGTGTACATCGGCCAAACTGGCCGATGCATTAATGACAGGGCACGTGAACATGACTGGACACTCCGGTCGACCGCTGGGGGTCACTTGCCTCTGCATTGTGCTGCTTGTAAATGCCAGCCCAAATTCAACATCACCATCATCGGAAGGGGCACAGATAAAACTACCAGAGAATTATTGGAAGCATATGCAATAACAAAAGAGGGGCTAGATGTATGCGTCAGCCAAACATCGGTTTTAGAGCGCAGCCCTTAGGGGCCCGTTTCCGGCTTGAGCGGCGTCGGCGTAACCGCGAGCTCACGTGACCCCCACAGGTCACGTGACCCCCTGAGGTCACGTGACCCCCTCAGGTCACGTGACCCCCTGAGGTCACGTGACTCCCTCAGGTCACGTGTCCCCCCCTCAGGTCACTTGACCCGCCTCAGATCACGTAACCCCCTGAGACCACGTGACCCCACTGAGGCCACGTGACCCCCCTCAGGTCACGTGTCCCCCCTCAGGTCACTTGACCCGCCTCAGATCACGTAACCCCCTGATGCCACGTGACTCCCTCAGGCCACGTGACCCCCCCTGAGGTCACGTGACCCCCGAGTTCACGTGACCCCCTGAAGTCACGCGACCCCCGAGGTCACGCGAGCCCCCTTCGGTCACGTGACCTCAAGGAGTCACCTATCCCTCAGTACGCTTCCATCTTCCTCCTCAAGAGCTGCGCTCTAACCGGCGTTACAGGGAATTGTAAACGGCTTCCATTTTTTCTTCACAAAAAAGAGATTGCCTATCTTGAGACGTGCTGAAGCGATAGTGCGGTTTACTTCCTTGGTGTTTTTTCAATAAGTGTTGTGTGTTCAGCGTTTGTATCGTTCGCACCTTCCTTTCGTCCTTGTCTATCATTGCGCGCTGTTTATTTCCGTTTGCTATCATTAAAACTGCTAATCCGTAGGAATGTGCTCATTGGAGGCACTGAATCCCGGAGAAAAGCTCACCGCAGAAAAGCTCACCGGAGATAAGCTCACCGGAGAAAAGCTCACCGCAAAACCGGCGGATGCGGAGAAAAGCTCACCGATTTTTTTCTTATTTTTTACATGGAGGCTGTTGAACCATGCGTAACATATAACAATTTATTATCATCAAAATTCGTCAGCTTTGTAAAAAAGAAAATGTAGTTTTTTTGTATTATTTGTTCATCTTATTGGGCATATGGCCTCCAAATTAATAATTGTGGGCGAGTGTTTTCTGTGGCTTACTCTCTAGAGAGTAAGTCACAGAGAGTAAGCCAACGAAAGCCGAACTGAAAACTTTATGAACTTTAAGAACAGGAAAAAGTTCGAAAACTTAATAATGTCTGCCTAAAACCTAAAAAACCAAAACTGTAAATGCCGAAAATCCGAAAGCGCATGAGCAACAACGCGGTGCCTGAAAATCTCTTTGAAGCTTTTGTTAACCTTTGAAAACGGGATAAAACAGTCAGTAGGATATCGAGGCTTCTTTCTTCCACAGACATGCACTTTTTCCAGCCGTTCGTGCTGGTGTTTTCTCACGTTGTCTTTTTGTGATAGCTAGTGCCCTTCTACGGTGAGTCACCCATGATCTTCAGAGCTGCACACAGACACCTTTGTTCCTCGTGACCTATATAGGAACTAGTCTTCTGTAAGGTAGCGAAGAGAGCGAGTTGGTAAACGTTATACATGATGAAAACTGCTCAAACGACGACGAGGGAGTGAAAACCAACGCGAGAGGACGAAGCTGTTCTCGCAACTAAAGTTTTGTTAGTGAAATTAACAAAAAAAAAAAACAGTGTAGGCGACACTGACTACATCAACAAGTACCTACTTATATATTAGGCACAGCACCACTGGTCACCACACCGCTATTCATATTAGCTTGCAAAAAACAAACCTCTTTATCTGACAGCGCTACCGTCGGCGCACTGTCAGCTATCATAAATTGTTGCCTTTTTTTTTTTTTTTTTACCGGAGTAGGATGTTGTGATTTCATACTTATTAATATACAGAATGGGTGATTACTAATTTCTGAGGAATTAGTAAATATTTCCAATGAACTTCAAGAATATTACAAAAAAGAGAATATATTTTTAATGAAGTGACGAATGCGCCACGCTTCACGCAGAATCCGTTAAGTTAAAAAAAAAAAAAATCGGTGAGCTTTTTTTCGCATTTGCTTAAAGGCCGGTGAGCTTTTCTCCTCATCTGACGGTTTTTCGGTGTGCTTTTCTCCGGTGAGCTTATCTCCGGTGAGCTCTTCTCCAGTGAGCTTTTCCCCGGTGAGCTTTTCTCCGCCGCCCGGAGGCACTAACCTAAGCGTTAAGATTTGGTGTTTGCCAATACTTTTTTCAAAATTTCGTTTCTTGGATCGTTTCACCCTCTATCTCTTTCCAGCGATCTAGCCTCCCCTGATTTTAACCCTCTCTTTTGTTTTCATTCCTCCACCCACGTCGGCAAATTTAAATGCTCCCTCTGAACATTTTTTTTAATGTTGAATACATTATAACCTTGGAAGGCTAAGTAGGGAAACACCAACACAAAAAACTGACACGAAGAAGCGAAGAACAGTTACACACAGGGTTCAAACAATAAAATGAAACACGGTTTTCTGGCCGGCAAACATGAACTACGGATTGCAGAAAGCTGAAACCCTGTGAGAACGTGCCTGTTCACACTCTTGCGACCTCTTAAAATCGGGTGCCTTAGAACCTCTTAATATTTCTTACAACAAGAGGACACACTGGTGCCATTTATTGGGTAGAAGTGTAAACTTGGCGGTCCGGCATGTTTTCTATTTCTCTCGCACAATATCCGTTCTTTCATGGCTCGAAAAACTTTTGTCACGCACATTTGACCTTGGAAATCCCGCAAAACCTTCGCTCTCGTGAAACGCAGTTCCAGGGACATCGCATAGATGGCGCCAAAATGCCAGTGTGTTCACTCGTCCTAAGAAATTTTAAGAAGTTTCAACAGATCTCGTCTCTCTCTGTCGTACTCGGTCGCAAGAGTGTGAACGGGCCTGTAAAGGCTAAGAAAAGTCTTCGAGGGAAAGGAGGGCTGGCGAGGAGGAAACAAATGGAATGGTGAAGAGGAGAGATGGGAACCACCTCTTCTCTCCAGCGTTCCAACTGCTTCTTCCTCCTCAGGCTTCCTTTTCCTCGAAAACATTTTCTGAACCTGAAACTGACTGTAGCAGTGGTGACGAAATGTGAAAGTTTGAGAACATGACGTTACCTGGATCAAAAGTAGTCTTGTAAGCGTTACCGAAAAAAAAGTAACGAAGTACGTTACTCGTTACTTGCAAATAAAAGGAACGCGTTATTGACATACGTTACCTAAAAATAAAAAGACTCGTTACCATTATCGATAAAAAGTAACTCACGTTACTTTTGCGTTACTCTCTTTAAATAATGAATTAATATGTTTTACTGTTTTGACGGTACTGGTAGTCGGATTTGAAGAAACATTGTGT